CCATTTCAAAGGATCTGAGTGGAAAATACATTTGTCTCAAACACAAATGTGAGTAGGCACATGCACTTGCAGTTATCTTTACATTAAAGCCTAACAGAATTACACACCATCTTTTCAAGGAGATGAGAGTGCTTATAAGAAATCCGTAATATTACATTTAGGTTCAACACTATTTTGTCACACTATTTTGCAATGATCACCTGGAATATGACTTGGACCAAAGCCCAAGAAAGATATGTGTCCAGAGAAGAACAACAAAGATGATCAAAGATCTAGAAATCAAACTTTATGGGGAATGACTGAGGCAGCTGAGTATGTTCAGTTTAGAGAAGAGAAGACTGAGCGATGGCACAATAGTGATCTTAAGTACCTAAAATATGTCAGACACAAGAGCAAACTTGTTTTTATATACTCCAGCAAGCAGAACATCAACTAATGGATCTAAATCACAAGGAAACAAATTTCATCGAAATGTCTTAAATGTCGGAGTTGTTCAATAGTGCAAAAGAGTACCTTGGAGAATGGAAAACTCCCAATCCAGCTCTAAGATTCTATGATTCATCGTTTTTCCTTCCCACCTCAGGTAAGTATGTTTTTACAGAGCAATGTGTTGTTCTTACAAATACACCTCTATGTGCACAGACATGCGATCTCAAAACCAACAGGTGGTAGGAGTGGTATAGGAACAACACTACCATCTTGCTGAGTGTGAACTGTTACCTAGCACATTAAAGTCATATTCCATGGGGTCACTTATTGCACAGAGCTGCAACCATCTTACATTGTAGTCAAGCAAGAAGTTGTGCATTATCATGCCCTCAGCCTCCCACCGATTTTTGAAATCTGGCAATACTTTTATTGCAAGACTAGAGCCTCTGGGGATCCATTCAAGGTGCAGTTTACTGTCTGAAGTCCATTCAAAAGGCCTTCAGTAAGAACAGAGAATGGAGAGGAAGATTCACAGGCAGCAGAATAACAAACAAGCTTCCAGAAGTCCCCTAAAGTAAACCTATAAGTATACTACTGACAATAAGAGGGAAATCCATCCATCTTAGGAGTTTTGGTCATGTCAGGAGCGACTTGAGAAAGGGCGTTCTCAGTGGTGGCCCCTCGCCTGTGGAATTCACGCCCCGGGGAAACATGGATATGAGACCAGGCCTTTGGGTAATCTGGCAGACTGACAAGGTAATGACGGCCAGAGTTTGGAAAGGACTATGATAATGCTGAATGGACTTACGGATTTTTAGAACTCGGTGAACGTTAGCCACTAGATTGGCTTTTCTTTTAGTTGTTATTGTATTAATTGATTGTTTTAACTATTTGTGATTACTGCTACTATGTATTTTACTTGTTGAATTGTTGGCATCGAATTGTGCCGGTTGTAAGCCGCCCTGAGTCCCCCTTAGGGGGTTGAGAAAGGCGGGGTAGAAGTACTCGAAATAAATAAATAATAAATAAAGTGCAGCTCAAGAGACCTATTAATGACAGAAGTAACTTAAGGGCTAGCTCCATAAGAGGAGTGAAATCTTCTTCTTTTACACAAACTCCTCTGACTGTCATATATTTCCAGAAAAAAATCATAAATGAAAAAAATTACAGTATATTGATAATAGTAAAAGTATGTTGCCGATTTTAGTATAGAGACAAAACATGGCTTTTTAAAATTTTGTTATTTCATATCAAAAGCATTGCTTAAATTAGTATAAAACTGATAAAAATAGGTGTGCAGGTGGCTAAATATCTTTTGACCAAAATGGGCAACAGCAACAGCACTGACTGTAGCCTCCAACAATTCCTCCTCTGTACATGAAGCAGGGCACAATGGACAAGCATACAGATGCAGAGTTGTCTGTTCTGCTCCACAGTCACACAAGGTATAGGATTCTTTTAGGTGGTGCCATTTTGCCAGGTTGTCTTTTGATCTGCCTACTCCGCTTCTGAGTCTATTCAGGGACCTCCAAGTTGCCCGTTCTTGGTTTGCCACTGGAGGAAGAGCCTTGTGGGGGGCCATCTAGTTGGGGTTTCCTGATTTAGCTGCCCAGAGGGATAGCCTTGCTGTTGCTGAGAGGACGCCAAGAGGAGTGGTAGTTCTTACAAATCTTTTGCTTGATTTGAGTCTATTGGGACGAGGCTGGTAGCCATGCAGTGGGTAGCTTTTGCAGTGTTCAACCTTATTCCTCTCACATTTAGCAGCAACTTCCCGTCGCACATTGGGGGGGGGGGGGCAATGCCAGCTAGTTTGTATGGTTTATCAACAGGTGTAGGTTCAAGACACCCTGTGATTATTCTGCAGGTTTCATTCAATGCTATGTTCACCTGCTTTGCATGGACAGACCTATGCCAAACAGGGCAGGCATACTCAGCAGCTGATACGAAATAAAATAAAATGGCTTTATTGAACAATAGGAAGACAAGCACTTGGACTATAGATGAGAGAAAAGATGCAGGCATGTCACTTTGAATTATGTTCTTAATTTTTTTAAACCATTAAAAGTGAATCATTTTAATCAGGTGGGAAACCTTACTAATAAAGGTGTATGTGTTTGTGTATGACTTTGATCCCCTCTTGATAGCTCAAAAATGACAAAACATTGACAACTGAAGCTCGATATGCAAATCAAAAGGATCAAAGGTTTACAGTACCCTGGTGGTATCCACTACAGACACCCCCCTCCCCCCTTTGGATCCCAAATCCATGAATGTTCAGGGCCCATTGTATACAATGTCATAATAAAATGGTGTCAAAAGGATGACACCAGTACTAACCTCATAATAATGGAAAATGATGGTGTAACTAAAAATGGCAAGGTTTGGGGGGAAAAACGGGAAAATTGGGGGAAAATCAGTTTTTCCTCGTTTTTTCCAAAGCTGTTTTTTGTTCAGAAAAATTGAAAAAGTGTGTAGAAACAAAAAGTCTCAGAAATCTTTCATTAAGGTCTTCATGTTATATACTTTGAATATCATGTCATAGATATATTATTTATCATTGGAAAAGAACATATTCTACACACAACCTGCTTTTCCCCAATTTTCCAGTTTTTTCCCCAGGTCTTCCCATCTCTAGGTGGGACTGATATATCTACTGATACTGTACACATGAAAGACATAGAAAAAATCTAAGTCAAAAAACCCCCTCCCCCTAGAATCATAGAGTTGGAAGAGACCCCATGAGCCATCCATGCAGGAAAAGCACAATCAAAACACTCCCCAACAGATGGGCATTCAACCTCTGTTTAAAAACCTCCAAGGAAGTAGTCTTCCCTACACTCTGAGGTACAGAGTTCTACTGTCGAACAGCTATCACAGTCAGGAAGTTCCTAATGTTCAGGTGGAATCTCCTTTCCTGTAATTTGAACCTACTGCCCAAGTCCTAGTCTCCAGAGCAGCTGAAAACAAGTCTGCCCCGTCTTCCTTATGGCATCCTTTAAAATATTTAAACATGGTGATTATGTCTCCTTTCAACCTTCTCTTCTGCAGGCTAAACTTTGAGCCTATTTTCATAGGGCATCTCTGAACCTGTTTTCGCTTATCAATATCCTTCTTGAATTGTGGTGCCCAGAATTGGACACAGTGATTCCAGGTGAGGCCTGACCAAAGCAGAATAGAGAGGCACCATGACTTCCCTTGATCTCTAGACACTATACTCCTTTTGATGCAGCCCAAAATCCCATTGGATTTCTTAGCTGTTGTATCACATTGTTGGCCCATGTTCAACTTGTTGTCCACTAAGACACCAATATCTTTTTCACATGCTGTTGTCAAGGCAGGAGTCATCCATCCTGTATCTGTGCACTTCATTTTTTTTTTTTTGCCTAAGTGTAGCATGCCTATTCTATATTTGATAAGCATATCTATACTGTATTTTTGTTGTTGAAATTCATTTTGTTTGGCCAATTAGGCCTTTAGTCTGTTATGGTCATTTTGAATTCTGATCCTATCTTCTGGAGTATTAGCTATCCCTCCCAATTTGATGTTATCTGTCAACTTGATAAGCATGCCCAGTAATGCAACCATTTTTCACAGAAACAAAAAATATGTAATGAACTTGGGGGGGGGGGGGGGGGGAAATCCAACTCCCTGCTTTTAAAGATTCATACCTAAAGAGGAATCAACAAATAGTACACAATTAATGTAGTTCCAATAAGAGAATGTGCCCAGCAGATCTGCAGGTAATTTGAAAATGTCCTTATCCATCCAGCTGTAGCACTTTTGAACCAGTACTTTCCCAATATATTTCTATATTTTTCATTTGTGTTTGTAGACTTGTCAGTCTCCGAACACATCTTTTTCCATTCACTGTAGTAAAATAGCACCTCTTATATAAAATGGCAAAATCAAGGTTTGCTTTGTGGATATATTTGTTAATATTTTATAGATTAATTTGCAGTTACTTTAAATCTGCATTTAGCTTGCAATACTGTTTGTATGTAGCAGACTTTTCAAGATGAGAAGAAATAGAGAGGCCTAGTATATTTAGGGCTTGTAAAACTGAATTACTGTGTTGCGAAATGATGCATGTCTAAAAAGTGTATTGCCAACATAAAATGTTTGCAAAGCTCTATGGTAGAGAGAGAGAATGAGAGATGAAGGGAGGAAAGGTCCTTCTGATATAATGGAAGAAGACAAGGATCAGAAAAAGTAAGGGGAGGTTAGATAAGGGCAGAGGAAAGGGACTACCATTAAGGAGGGGAAGCAAAATCACCCAGGTGGGCATGTTAGTCAAAAGAAAAGAGAAGAGTAAGAACACTTGGAGAAAAAAGGCACTTAGTCCCACAGAAGAGTATTGGAATAGGTAGACAAATAAGAAAAGGTAGACTTCTTGGGCCCCTGGTGGGTTAAAGACTAGGGTGGCCTTGTGCTGTGTCATTAGTATGAAATAATGATGTTTACTAAACAGCTATATATATAGATGTAGAGAGAGAGAGAGAGAGAGAGAGAGAGAGAACATTTAAAAGAATCTTTATTAGCTTTAAAATCAGGATGTGATACAAAACACTTACCAGTATTACTGCTCTCTGATTTTTCATCTGCCTGGCACTCTGGAAACAACGACAAAGTAAGGGTCAGGACTTTGTGACTTTCAATATTATCAGCATTATTGTTGTTGTTAAATATATTCAGTGGAATGTTATAAAATGTCTCTAGTTCAGGACTTGCACAAAACAAGAATTGACCCATTTGGGACAGTCAGTATATCCAATGTTTGGTGACCTTCTCTAACTCATGTCCCAATTGGACCTATCAAGAACTGGTAAAAAGATGAGCGAATTAATACCAATGCAACAATTCCCTTGGACTATGAATTGTGCTACAGAACTGACATCTTTTTAAACTATTGTGGCCAGCTGACCAATCGGCCAGCCAACATTCTGAATGACCCATTTGTGTCAAAGGCTCCCTAACTGTGCTCGGTGAATAAAAGCCTCACAGATCCCATTTCTGTCAAATTAGAAAGGGAAACAGCAAGGAATTTATGTGTCTCTGGAAGGAGAGAGATGAAAAAGACGGATAAAGGAGGCAGTGAGGCATGGGTGTCCAATCAAATCCTGAGAAAAACTGAGAACTGGGGCTAAAAAGAGATTTTGTGACAAATTAGAAAAAGGATAGCATTATATACTGAAAACAAGCAAGAACGGGCAAAATAAATTTTTATTCTGCAAGGAGTAGACAGTATGTATATGACAGAATAAACAGTTTTAGCGCTCTACATATTTTTGACCTTTAACTCCAAGCAGCACTAATCTATATACCTAATAGTGTGCTTGTTTTGGCAGCACATATCCTACCTAATAGTAAGGAATTATGGGAGCTGCAGTTCAAAAACATACAGAGGACCACAGGTACCTAGCCTGGCAAAGAGCAAGCAAGATCTCACAAATGAAATGTTAATACTTTTATGCAGACTGAATATTCTTAAAATATGGTTAATGACTTCAATCATGTATACCACAACTAAAGAGTCTAAAGCAACTGAGTCTATTAGAAAGGCCTCCCACTTGAAACCAGGATTGAAAGCAGTACATGTGAAAGGAATCTAGGAGTTTTGGTGGACCACAAGCTAGACATGAGTCAACAACACAACATGGTAGCTAAAAAAGCAATTCTAGGCTCTGTCAATAGGAATGTTGGGTCTTGTTTGAGGGAAGTCATAATCCCACTTTATTCTGCTTTGGTTAGACCTCACCTGGAATGCTGTGTCCAGTTCTGGGCACCAACATTGATAAAATATACTGACAATCAATAATATGTATAGAGAAAGGTAACCAAACTGATCAAACTGATCAAACCCTATGAAGAATGGCTTAGGGAGCAAGGGATGTTTGGCTCAGAGAAGAGGAGGTTAAGAGGAGACATGATAACCATGTTTAAATACTTGAAAGGATGCCACATTGAGGCAGGGGCAAGCTTGTTTTCTGCTGCCCTGGAGACTGAGACTCAGGGTCCTTCCAAACAGCCATATAACCCAGAATATCAAGGCTAAAAATCCCACAATAACTGGGTTATCTGAGTTCACACTGCCGTATATCCCAGTTCAAAGCAGATAATGTGGGATTTTATTTAGCTGTGTGAAAGGGGCCTCAGAGCAACTTTTAACTACATTTTCAATTTGCTAAGCTAATTTTATTTTACACTGCCTGGGGACACTTACTTCAACCAAGCAAAACCCGACTGGTAACCATCACCCAGAAGGCCTTTTCATTGGCTGCCCAAGAAATGACCTGCCGGAAGAGATCTCACAGCTATATCAGCTGCCAGAATTTAAGACAACACTTAAGACCTATCTCTTCCAGCAGGCCTACTCAGTCAATTTTAAGTTGTGAATTTTAACCTGCATTTTATCAGTAAATTTCAAGCTGCATTTTACCTGTGTGTACTTGTTATATGTATTTCAAGTATAATTTGTTCTGTTTTAACTATACTGTACCCTGCTTCGAGCAGCAAGGAGAAGTGGCTAATAAATAAATAATAACTATTATTAACCTTCTCAAAGCCGGAGAAGGGAGAAAGCAGACAGTCAGTGGTCCCAATGACACCCGGGTCATACCAGGTACATATACTAGTATAAAATAAAAACAATCCAAGAAATTTTGGGTCATTGAGTATGAACCTGTTCTTTGTACATGCTGTTGGATTAAAGCTGCCAAAAGCTAAACAAACCACGAAGCTTGGAGCTGAAATTTTATTGTGTCATACGAACCCTACAGCAAGATCTGGCTTTTCTCCAAGCAAGCCATAGAAATTATCAACAGTATGCTTTATGGTTTCTTTCTCTATCTTGATGGGGGAACCAGTGAGATAGCTTATGTCAGACAAAAGAATAAACAGAGTTCTGTAGTTTGTTTAGTCATTTCTATTAAACTCAGGCAATACATACAAAAATGCGGCTTCAACATGACAGCTAGGGCTCTTGTGATCCTTGGCTTATTGTTGGAATCCAAACATAACCACTGAACATGTGTAATGGTTGCTTTCATTTGGAAGAATGAAAAGATGGAAGTGTAAATATTTCAGGGTTGGAGTAGATGAATTACATGACTCACAATTCTTAAACTAGAATAATACATTGTCCTCCTAGAGCAAGTTCTCCCCTTCCATCTTAAACTGCAATTATGGCAGTTTTTCTAATAAGCTTCTGAAAATGGCTAACTTTTAAAAAACTTCTTAATAGATTGCTACAGTTGGCAAAGAAGGATGGAGAGCTACAGTTCTATGCTAAATGCAGAAAACAAGCTTCTTTCCTTTAGCATTTCCTCTAGTTTCTTTGCTAGATACAAAGAAAGAATGGAGCCTTCCATTTATTCTCTGCCAGCCTTTCACTTATATATATGCAACTCCAGTTGCCTATGGCTACAAAAGCAGGATCATGTTTTTCAAGCAGAAAGGGTCAGTTTTAATTAAACTTTGTCCATAAATCCCAAATCCTGGTTAAACAGAGAGCCTAATTTGTGGCAACCAGGTTAAAAAAATCTATAGAAATCGACCTTTATTGTTTTTAAGCTGATTTGGAGAGAAATGGTCCAACATGAAGTTCATGTTTTTGCTGTGGGCTTGGAGCATTTCCAGGCAATAAGGCTCTGATGTCTGCAGCAGTCAGAAGGGGTTCAGAACTGATGACTAACAAGGACACATTTCAGGAGGAATGTCTGTCTCTACAAATATCAGTCAACGTTTGTTTTAGAAAACTAGAAAAGTATTTCCATTCCTAAAAATAACATATAGTTGACAAACTTCTCCTTAAAGTATAACCCAACATGATTTAAGAAGCAATTATCTTGGACTTATATAATTTTTAAGACATCAATAACAGCGCTCCATGCAGTCATGCCGGCCACATGACCTTGGAGGTGTCTACGGACAACGCTTGCTCTTCGGCTTAGAAATGGAGATGAGCACCACACCCCAGAGTCAAACATGACTGGACTTAATGTCAGGGGACTACCTTTACCTTAGGAGAACAGTGTCAAAATTGAGGAAAGTCATAGTCTCACTCTATTCTGCTTTGGTCAGATCTCACCTGGAATCCTGTGTCCACTTCTGGGCACCACAATTCAAGGAGGATACTGACAGGCTAAAAGGTGTCCAGAGAAGAGTAATCAAACTAATGAAAGGTTTGGAAACCAAGCCTTATGAGCAATGGCTGAGGGAGCTGGGTAGGTTTAGCTTGGAGAAAAGAAGGCTGAGAGGGGACATGAGAGTCATATTTAAATATTTGAAAGATTGACACATTGATGAGGAAGGCAAGCTTGTTTTCTGTTGCTTTGAAGAAGAAAAGGACAATGAGCAATGGATTCAATCTGTAAGAAAAAGAGATTCTACCTAAACATTAGGAGAGAACTTCCTGAAAGTAAGAGCTGTTCAACAGTGGAACTCACTGACTCGGAGTGTGATGGGGGCTCCTCTGGAGGTTTTTAAGCAGAGGCTGATTGGCCATCTGTCAGGGGTGCTTTGATTGTGTGTTTAACTGGGGCTGGACTGGAATGGCCCTTGTGTTATCTTCCAACTCTGTGATTCTTTGAACATGAAATGGGCTTTCCAACCACTGATTTTATCGCATGCTTTTCAAAGTCAATTAAACTTAGTATTTTCTTGTCAAGATTCAGGTCCGTTGCCAGGATTTTGATTCGGGGAGGGCTGAGTTTGATTCGGGGGAGGGGGTGAGTCTGAGTGAAAGAGGGTCTACCATAGCAAATCTTTTGTATCGTTACCCCAATACCCCCATGCATATGGGATATATTGAGCATGGTGATCAGATCATGATATGAATAAACATAACAGTTTAAATAATGTACCAGTAAGGCCTTCTCACGGACCACCATGAGAATTTCGGGGGGTGGGGCTGGAGCCCCTCAAGCCCCCCTCCCCTGGCTACATGCCTGTCAAGATTAATTCAAAGGAGAGAATCATTGCCTTATTCTAAGGCTAAGAAAGGCTCTGAAAAATGTTACTGGCTCAAATCTGAGAATCCACCTCTCCCACTCAGTGCTCTCTCAAAAATGCCACCTTCAGTGCCTCAGAGGAAAGAATCTATCAGATTTATTCCTACTGGTTATATAACTAGATGATTTTAAGTCGTTCCTGCCATATATAATACAAATCAACTCTCTTTTGTTGACTACAGGGCTGAAAAAATCCAAGGCCCTAGAGGCTTATAGTTTTTTTAAAATAAATAAAATTCAAACAGTCCCACCAGCTTTGAAGATAAAAGTAAAATGCTGTATACTCTGAGGCAGTGGTGCTCATTTTTGACATAACTGCAGCTAAGGAGTAACATGCCTTTGAGTCCAAAAAACATAAATATTCTTAACTAAACTAACTCTTTACTGTTTGGGATAATGTAAGTTTGCTAGATGAAATGAGTTTAAATTAAGTACTTCCTATGCAGCACAAGTTAAAATTAAAAACTCTGATATTATGAAACAGTTTATGAAAGCCATCACTATATTATATTTTATGATTTTTAAATCACTTAACAAAAAGGTGGAAGAAAATATGACATTTTCTTAAAACCTTTACTTTTTATTTTGACACAGGGGATTTC